ACTCTTTCAGCCTTATTAAGATAGTTATGGTATGTAGCCCTAAATTTGGCAGAATTTAATTGCATGTTTTTGTTTAAAATTTTCTAAATTAACAGCAAAGCATGTTGTCCTCAGTCTTTCTTTTCTAAATCCCTTAAGCTGTGTACCATGAGATTTCATGGCATCATTGTTGGAGCAGAATAAAAATCTCTGCAAAAGCACAAGGTTTTACCCTGTGCTTTTAGTGTCTTCACAAACACAGTCTCCCTCCTACCCTGTCATTTTCTCTGAAGATTTTTGGTAACAAGAGACAGAATTTTCAAGAATTATGGTACTTCCAAGATAATTTTGGGTCTCAATATATAATATTCAAAAGAAATGTAATAAAAAGCATCAAATCCAGATGGTGGGTGTTCTATGCCTTCTAAAAATCTAGATTTCCTAAACAGGTTACCTAACAAAAGACAGCATTAGAAATGCCTATTCACCCTGGAAAATACACCTAGGATTTATAGTGGAATGCCCATCTACACTTCAGGGGAATGACTGGCTTTGGTTGAAGACATTTATAATACATCTTCAGAAGCATAAATCATTGTAGATACTGTGTTTGTGAAATTAGAACATGAGCTAGCAGTAACTATGTGTTTGTGTCTGTAAGGCAATTCACAGTCTGCCTTTCAGAGATGACTTTTCTAGGATCTCCCAGATCAGAATTTCAGTTCCAAATTTCATCATGTTTTTGCCTTTCTTGGGCAAAAAATTGCTTTTGCAGTCCACCTTACCATGTTATGCAGTTGCATTTATTACACTTCTACAGTATGGAAGCCAGAAAACAAGTCAGTCTCTCTGCTGAAGTGAGTGTCAGTAACTTTCCTTATTAACCTACACGATGATGCCAGCTTCGACTCAAATTTTCGGACTATGTACATGACTGAGTTGTATGCTAGTTGTAATCAGTCATCAGTGAATTGCTTTTCCCAGGACATCAACATCTATACATTGTATAGATGTTGAGGGCTATCATAATCACACCCATAAAACTTGAAAAGACTTGGAGTAATGCTTTTTAATTTTTTTTTTTTTATTATTTCTTTTTACAACCAGATGTCTTTCAGAACCACTGATGACTTTCAAGCTGCACAAAGATTTCATTGTTGCTGTTAGTAAGTAAAGTAATAAATAAAGTAATTTTGTTTCTAACCCTTAATCTCCTCAGTTACTAGCCTTTTGTTGGTTCCAGTATTTGTGGTAACTGCTTTTGGCAAGTTACTTGAAATACAGATTTCAAAATGTTGTAATAAGTATAATCAAATTATTGTCATAATTTTAAAGGCTAATTTTGTTTGGCTTCTTATAATGCATGTGTGTATTAGCATGCATTGATGCCATTTGTAGTAATATCTTAGTACATGTTGTAGTTTATCAACAGTATTTGTTTCCTTTTTAATAGAGTCAGATGATCAGAACTACAGAGTTGAGGCAGTGCATGCACTTGTGCATAAATTACCAGAGAAGAACAGAGAGATGCTGGACATCCTTATCAAGCACTTGGTCAAGTAATTATTTTTTATTTTTCTCTTTGGCATTATTGTAAGATGTGGTTATTTCTGTTTTAAATTTGTCAGTATTGCTTAATCTAATCTCTGTGTTGAAACAATGCCACTTAAAATTCCATTTAATTTCTAAAATGCTGTTCTCAACATCTCAAGAATGCTCATCAAAGAAACAAACAAAAAAAAACCACCATGAAGAGTCATCAAGATGACCAACTATGTTTATAGAATAAACCCACTCAGTGTTTTCATTCACATTCCTACTTACTACAGGAATCATCACTAATTAAATTTAAGAAACATCTAAAACTATGCTAAGGTTGGTAGAACACACTGTTTTGAATCTGACTCGAGGTCCCACACTGTATCAGAAAGGGAGAGCAGATTACTTGTCTTTCCATGTTTGATCTTTTTTTTTCCAACAACTCTGAATTGTAGTATCATTTGAAAACATTAATTCGAACTATTATTATTTATATTTTTGATATCTATATAAATGTCCAAACCCCCTGTGGGGGTTTTCATCAGTTTCTGTGAGTATTAATTAAATGTCAGATGGAGATTTTGCATTTCTTTGAACTGATGACCCTCTGTCTTGACTGAATTACCTTAGCATGTGCTGCGAGACAAAAAAGGCAAGTTTTTATTCTCTTATGTCTCTCTATATCACTAGCTATGTTTACACACCATTATTACATTATAATTTCTTCTGTTTCTGCCTCAAACATTTTTCATGTACATTTTAGTAAATCATTGGTCAGTTTTCATTGGTATTTGTTGAATACGTTTTAATATGTATTATTCTCTCTGGTGCTGTATACTTTTTAGTACATTTAGCAGTGATTTAGGAATGAGAATAATGAAACAGCAGTTGTTCAGAAAAGGCCCACATGACTGCCATATGCGGAAGACATGAGAGGAGTCCATATTGGTTTCATTCCATTCATTACATCCCAGCAATTTTTTTTTGATCACAGCTTGAGCCACAGCCTGCAGTAAGCTGTCTACAGTGGAGCAGTTTTGCTTCCTCTTATAGACATAAGAACTTTGAAAACTGTCTTGATAGGAAATTATTTAGCACTAAAAAATTATATTTGTCACTGTATGTCATTAGCTCCTGGAGAACTAATGTGATAGTGAGCTGCTGTGAATGCTTCCATTGCAAAAACCGATTAGGCGGACCTTACATCTCATTCTACATGGGGTAATCCACAGAACCAGATGAAAGCAAGTTTCCTAAGTCTCAGTACTCAGAGTTGTTTGGTTAGCTAAAAAATACATCTACTGCTTTTTAACCCTCTAAAATGTTAAAACATTTAGCAAGGGATTAATGATTTCTTTAAAAGCTGCTAGTTTGGAAGCCCCAAAATTAGAAATATGTGTACATAGAACTGACTTATTTGTAGGCAGAATTAGTTATTGACCTCTTTTCCTGAACTCTTTTTTCTTAATGTGACCTCGGATGCATTTCCGAAGAAGAGCATGCTGGCAGTATTCCCTTCTTTAATTGATCTCTTTAACTCTTGCCTATTTCATCTTTGATGTGATTTTTATTTCCAATAAATGTAATCTTATGGTTTTATACCGAAAACTTTCAGTTCTTTCCCACATTCAGTTCATCCCTTCTTATTTCTCTATATATAATTTACCAGCTGGTGTTTATGCTGGCAATTCTAACGAGACTGAATTCAAAATTAGTCTCTTGAGTGTACTAGTTATCTTCCTTCCTCATCTTTTTCCTATCACTGTGGCAGATTTTTCAAGGAACAAATGGCAGATGAAGTGCCTCATTTTATGAAAATGAGATATACAGGACAAAAAAACCCAACAAACTAACCTCCTGTTGCTTCATTCTTTTGTTTAAAATACATTTTAAAAATATACATCCTTTCCCTGTATTTCTTTTAACTATTCAGTTTTTTATATATGCTATTGTGTCTAGATGAAAATACTATATACTTTTTAACTATGGGTTACAAAATAAGGATACTATTTTTTTCTTGGTTTATGTCTTAAGGTCTTTACCTCTCTGCCTACCTTGAATTTTGTGTGCAAAATTAAATATAATCTATATGATGTGGGGTGTAGATCATACTAAAACCAAACAAACAAAACCAGCAAATCCTGAAAAGCACCCTGCAGAGAGGTGATACTGCATGAGTATATACTCAGTCAGCAGCTAGGCAGACACAGGAAGTTTGGTGTTATTTTCATATTGGTAACTAATATTTTGGTTTTTAAACCTTCCTAGTCAAATTACCTGTCTACTTTACAGAATATTTTTTTCTTTGTATGATTTAATAACACCATACTTTCTTAAGGTGGATAATCAGGAGTCTGCAATTTGTCAGCATCAAAAATTAACTGGTGATATATCAAAGAAAGAGATTTTGAGGAGAAAGCAACTGCACCTTAATGAATGCCTTACAGCTACCTGAAATGCATGATTATCTTGGCCTATGTCTATTCAGTAGCCCAGCAACAGTAGGACTAGGTCAGGGGAAATTGGCTTTCAAAATAGTCCATTTACAGGCATGGGTTTTTTCTCTTTTGCAAGAAACTGAGTCTTTGAAATGCATTGTAAAAAGTCCTTTTTGGTTACAATGTTATTACAGTCACCATTCCTTTTATTAACAAGCTACCAAATTTGTAACCAAGGAAACCCAAACACAGGACAAACACTACTTTCTCTATAGCTATAAGACTAGGTTTGTGTAAGAGACCTTAACAGTTACTTTGCAGCACAAAGCAGAGTAACATTGCAAAGGGTTATTTTTTTTAGAGTTTTTTAACAAAGCTAGAGCTGAGTAATTAAGAATTCTGTTTTCATAAAAATACTAATGGTCTTCTGTCATCTTCCCACCCCTCTTTACTCAGCTAAGCCAAATGTAAGGTCTCTTACAGAGAAAACAGAAGATAAAATTTGCTCCTACCTGCTAGTTGTCCAGTATTTTATAGATATTACTGTTTCTTAATTTTAAATGGTACAAGAGTTATTTTAATTATGTAGGAAATGGCTAAAAATGCTCCACTTGACAGTGATAGCAGACATGTGAACAAGTGCCTCAATAACTGATTCTGTTTGGTAGCATACTCAGTATAATTAAGCATTAATGTAATTATAAAATCTTTACTTGGCTTGATATTTCTCAGACATGAGTCAATAAGGCAGCTGTGACTGGGGAATCACTGGCAGTTATTTCGAAGGATTGATGATGATACATTTTTTATTTGGCAAATCTTATTTGTGAGGAGAGAAAAGGGGCATTGATTGATGGGTTTCATTTTATTATCTGATAAATTATTGGGAAAACTAAATTTCTGAATTCTACATTAAGAAAAAAAATGACAGAATAGGTACAGTAAGTGATCATGGAATATACAGAAGTAAAAGGTTAATATATTTTAAAGCCAGAGGATGTCATGATCATCTAGCGTAATCTGTACTACAGAAACAGTGATTTCACTGACCCTGTGTTTTCAACATACCAATAAAGAGATGCTATTGCAATTTAAGTGGTTTCAGTAACTAAGTTTCTTTTCTTTACATGAAAGCTAATGTATATTGTTGACCTCTGTTACCACATAGTATTTTCACTAAATCCCACATCATGTATTTGAGTTCCAGTATAATCATTGGAGAGGGATAGGTGCCTGTCCTAAGACTCCTAAACTTTAGATGATCTGGATCATTCTATAGAGACCTCCAAAGATAGTTGCTTTTGCCTGTCAATTGTGTCAGAAACTTAAACACTTAGTGCAGAAAGACGTGCTCATTGTCCATCAAGTTATTGCGGCATGGTAGCCCTAATGGAAATATAATTGTTGTACTACACTGTATTCTGACTCTAGTAAAAGTGAGTTTTAAAAATGTTTTTAAAGGGGAGGTGTGAACTTGGGATCTTGTTACAGAAGTAGTCTTAATAGTGTTTTGCTTGTTAGAATTGCAGTTTGGCACAGCAATTTAATTGCGTATTGTTTGTGTTCATTTAAAGGGTATCATTACACAGCCAGCAAAATCTAATGACTGTATCCAACCTTGGTGTTATCTTTGGACCAACTCTGATGAGAGCCCAAGAAGAAACTGTGGCTGCTATGATGAACATTAAGTTTCAGAATATCGTCGTTGAAATTCTCATAGAGCATTATGAAAAGGTAGAAAGACATTATCTGACTGTTTTGTGATGAAGTGGAACTAAGATCTCATTTTCATTACCATCATTAAGTTCTTAAGAAATCCAGCATTTGTAGAAAGTCATTGATAGAATACTTTCTTCCCACCCCATGCTATAGGTCTGTATTCCTGGCAAGTCTTTTGTCACTGTGCAAGATACAGATCCAGGGCATAATCTCCCATGCTTTGAAGGAGTTGCTCTGAATCTTCAGTTGCTTTCTGTAGATCTCTGTGTCCTTATATCAAGCAGCAGAATGAGAAGGTCATAACTGCTCCAAGCTCCTCCATTTCTCTCAAGCTAGCAGTTTATGAAGGTTCACTCTGAGTGAATGCATGGATTCTCCTCTAAGTGCATCATGTCAGAGTCTTTCAGACTGTTGCTGTCCTTCGGGAATACACCAGCTGCACAGTAAACATCTAGTCCCTCCTAATGTCATGAAACCTCAATGATCCTTCAGTTCCTCTTTTCACAAGCAGCATCAATGTGGATCCCCAGCAGAATCCCACATTTCTGTGCATTGTGTCATTTTTCATGAGTTTAGATACTAAATGAAAAGTAAAAAAGCTGAAGGAAGATATAATTTATCTTAGATGAGGTTTTACTCCTATTACAGGTTTTGTGCCCATCATATCTTTGTGATTTTAAAGTTTCTGAATATTCTGGAACATTCAACCCTCTCTAGGTACTCTTCTGCTTTGAAGAAAAGCACATCTGTGACTGCTTGGTTTATTTTATTTTCCCCAAAGAGACCAGTGACAGCAAAAGTCCATCTCAAACTCTTTCCTCTAACATTGAGTAAGAATTGAGAAAATCCATGAGATCTTAAATTTACTTTCAGTCACTACCATTGCAGGTATGAGCTTCACTGAAAAGTCTCCCTATTTTATTTCATTTTATTTGATTTCAGAACTCAGCAGAATAGTCAAGACCTCTTTTAGTCAAGACCTCTTTTACTTGGTCATCAAAAGGAATTTTATTTTGGGGATCTTTCGCTGATGTATAACACCTCTCAGATAACTAACAAAATAAAGTAGAAAAACTTCTGTGTTTCTTCCATTTTACATTACTAAGCTAAGGGGTAGTTCCTGGTCAATACCAAGATCACCTACACTGGTTGGTCAGTAAGTACTGACAGTACTGCTTGGTATCATCAGTTATCCTTCTTAGGGACTCCTCAAAATTGGTATGATATGGATAGCCTCCTTGGCTGTAACTCCAAAATATATATATTACGGGTTTCCAACACTGAATTTCTTCAGAAAATTACAAGCTCATTCAACACAAAGACCATGGCTGCAAAATCGAAATCGCCCTTGCTCTATTTCTCTGTCTGCAGACTTTTTTTGTATTGATATGCTACTTACTAATGCCTAATACAGGATTAATGTACTTCAAGAGCATTTCAAGACATCCATTAAAGTATTTTTTACTGTGAAAGTGTATTTGCTTTCTTCCACTTCTGTGAATGGAGTGAAGGTATCTTTTCATTGCTCACTTCATCCACTTCTGGGAGTTCCCTACCGAGAGAGGGTCCAGAAATTCTTGCAGAGATGTGTTCTGGCATTGCATAGTATTTAGCCTACAAAACTCGGTCCTGTGGAGACTGGGCACTTCTGAGTCCTTCAGTAGCTTATTCAGGCAATCTATCTCTGTAAAACCTGATCTCCATTAGACAGAATTCCTTCCACAGAATACCATAAGAGATATTCAGTAGAGTTTAAAGTCTACATTAGGATGAATAAGTGAGAAAGAAGATGTGAAATTAAAACCTGCAAATCTTTTGGCCATATTTTTTGCTTCAGTCATCCTCCATGGTAGTTATATTTACAAGAAGATTTTTAGGGTCTCTGCTGTATGTATCTTGGAAATTGCAGACAGATGATATAAATGAAAATCAAGAAAATTACTGGACCTTCTGCATTGCTTTTCCTGGCAGGCTTGCCAAGTTAATCTACAGAGTTCTTTAAGATCTTAAGTGTGCCTGTATAGATCACAGTGAGATACCCTTAAAAAATTATTTCTTTCTGCAGCAATGAAGCACAAAATTGACCAGTGGTATGTAAAAGATAAAAACCAGGAGATGTTCCAAACATAAAGACATTCCTCATCAAACTTGACATGTTTGGCAAAATAAAGTGCTTTTTTGAAATATAAACTGGATTCTAATAACTTATGACTATGACACATTTCTGTGGCATATAAAAGCTTTCACATGAACGCAGAGAAAAAATTCAGTCTTCATAATATATTAAAGAATATATTACTTCTTGGGCAGGAGTTAGTAGTTGTTTGCTTTCCAATTTAGACTGTTAAGCGCTTCTTAAGAAGGGCTATAAAACTAATTAAACAAATACTTTTCTATAATTAGTATAAATTTTAAGTACAGTATTCTTGTTCTCGGATTGTAAAACGAGATCAGAGCAAAGCTTGTATTCTGTGAATTTACTCTTTTGTAAAATAATGTGTGAGACTATTACAGGATTAATTTCAGGCACAGTGGTGAGGAAAACAAATGGAATAATAATGCAGGTGTAAAAGTACCTCTTTATGTCATTCTGTCCCTTTTTTTTTAATTATGCAGATATTTCACACTTCACCAGACCCCAATATTCCTCTACCCCAACCTCAGTCCCGATCAGGTTCAAGAAGGACAAGAGCAATTTGTCTCTCCACAGGTTCACGTAAACCCAAAGGAAGATATACACCGTGTCTTGCAGATCCTGACAGTAAGTTTGTCCTTGTTGACTGTTCAGCTTCCTTTTTATGTCTTGTCTTTAACTTTCCTGAATAATGAGTAATATCCATTAGGTATTGTATTCCAATAATTACAAGCATAACAGGTGGGGTTTCATCAGATTTTTAATCTCTGTGAGTCACAGCCACACTTTTCAATGACCACATTCCTTGCTTCTCTCAGATGAGGAAGACTATTTGCTTTTAGGCAAGCCTTGTATTGCTTGTGTTCAAAAATCATTTAGAGTAGGCTTTGTATTCTAATCTAAATTAGAATGTAGACTGCTTGGAAACTCAGAAGTTTGTTGTATGAAGTTCATCTCATTTGCTTGTAAGATGATTAGAAAGGTTGAGAAGCTGTAAATAGAATCTTTCCTCTCCTCCTGTAGTAAATGTAATTCAGTCAAGGTCAGGACCATTATTTGGCCTTATTCATACGCATGAAACTGTGGTCATTGGTTCAAAGCCAGCAATTGCCTAGTTGCCAAAACCACTGAAACTTGGTGAGTTTTCTGGAATAGAAACAAACTCTAATGTTTTTGGGAGAAACGGTATACCATAGCATATGGTTTACTGTTTAATAGCAGGGAATTATATTTATGACTAATTGCTGCTTAGAATGCTTATTCATTTTCATCTAGAAGTGACTACTAAAAAGTTTTGCTTCAATCATTTTCATCTAGTGGGCCATCACTTTTTTTACTTACTGGCTATGCCAGTAAAAAGTAATAAAACTTTATCAAAGATTAAGTTTTTAACAGTTCTGCGATGCAACAGACTTCCAGAAAAACTTGTGTGTCCCTTGGTTCCTCATCAAGATTTACATAAAACTGGTACAGTAAATTAATCCACAGTTAAGGTGCATCTGTTCTTGAGGATCTGTTGTAATTCTTAATTCTATAATGTTAGGAAATGTATCCTCTGTACACTCCTGCACAGGTGCTGCATTTTCCATATGTTTATGTTGCATGATTCCTGCCAGTGAGAATTTAAATACTAAATAAGAGCAATAGCTGCCAACATATCACTTGCCAGTGTGCATTGCATGGGATCCTGAGCAAGAAGTTGCAGAGGAATCATGAGTTACATTCACCAGAGGACAAACTGGGGAAGTTTCAACTGTGCTTCACTGTGTAACTGCAGTGAGTGAATGCCAGCATAAAAAAGAGACATTTCTGTGCAAGCATTTTGCAGAGCATATGCAAGCTCATGGCAGAGGGTTTGGAAATAGATGATCTTAAGGCCCTTTCCAACCCAAACCATTCTATGATTCTGTGATTCTTCATTCAGACAAATCCTGAGCTGGTGGCTTAATTTGAACTAAGTCTAACCAAAGAGCTTTCCACTTGTGCTTTGCTTATTAGCTGAAGATCAGCACTTGCTTATGCAACTTCCAGTTAAGATCTCGGTTATGCCTGGTAGGCCAAAGCAGAAGCAGAGGTATTCTCCTTGCCAAGTATCTCTAGGTGTGGCTGGAGACAGGCAGGAGAGAGCCTTGGCTTCTAGCAGGAGGAATTTCTGAAGTACTAGATGGGTTTAAGTCATCATTTAAATGAAGCACAGACACTTAACTGTATTGCAGGCGATTAGGGAATTCTGTATGGTGTAAGAAAATGAACTACAGGTTTCAAATGGTAGGGAATGATAGAAAATTATAGAAAATGCATCTGGCAAATTCAGACTGCAGCCAGTCTAGCAGTTTTGAAGGGCCTAATGGTCTGTAAAGGGGCAAGATGAGAGACAATCTAATCTACCAGAATTCTGGCTAGAAGTGGACAGAATATTTCACAGTACTGTACCAGTGTCACTACTGTTGTCAGAGCTACTCACTGTGAAAGGCACTAATACTTCTGACCTTATCTGTAGTATTGTGAGGGATTCTGGTCACTTGTTGCCAAGGATATTGTAACATTTGGAGGAAGACCAGCTGTATCATGGTGATATCTTGTAACTACGATGTGGTTGAAGAATACGCATTCTCTGCTTCTTGTGAAACTTGTGAAATGTGTATCTCCTAGCTTTTGGGAAGAAATCCTACTAGTAACCAGTGTATGATTAGAATAGACTGAATCCAATCTTCAAAATAATTCAGCCCTCACTGTATTATAGGCCAGTGCTTCCTCAGTTCTGATGCGTGTTTCTGCCTTTATATCATCAGTAAATTACTTGAGGATATTCCTACTTTCGGTTGCAAAAGATTGCTGGGAACAAGATCAGTACAAAGATTTTTGTGTAGGTAGGTGACTTTCTCTAAGATCAATCTAATTGAAGAAATTCATCAAATGTTCAGCATTCAAGTTGCAAGTAAAGGAATGAGTTGTCCTGCAGGATAGATATTTCAGGGAAAGAACAGACTTTGGACTAGTCTTACAGATACTGCAGAGATACTCAGCAGCTTGGTAACTGAGGTGAAATTTAGTTCTTGTGCCTGCTGGCAATAAAGTCATACATTTAAGAATGTAGGTGTGACAACAACCACAACATTTGCTTTATCATGGAAATCCAGCAAGATACTCACCACAAAGATATTGCAGCTTTGTCAAGTTTTCTAAGGATTATCTGTATTGCAGGCAATCATTTTAAAATGCAAGCTTCTATGTGAGATAGTTTAGCCTGTAGCTGAACATCAGCTCTAAAGAAACAGGCATGAAAGGCAGCTCTTCCAGGTTAAGAATATGTGTGAAACTTAGTGTAACTAAATAGGTAATTTGTCTTGACTCATTGCCTCTGAAACCATAAATTAATGAATTTGATGACAAGTGAGGTACAAGGGGCTAAAGGTGGCACATGATTACAAAATGTAAATTACTTCTTTCTCTCCCACACCTTACTCTTCCCTAGGTGACTCGTACAGCAGTAGCCCAGACAGCACTCCCATGGGCAGCATTGAATCTCTCTCTTCTCACTCCTCTGAGCAGAACAGTACCACCAAATGTACACCCTCACAGCCCAGGGAGAAATCAGGAGGGATTCCATGGATTGCCTCTCCAGCTTCTTCCAATGGACAGAAGAGTTCAGGCCTCTGGACTACGAGTCCAGAATCCTCATCAAAGGAGGATGCAACCAAAACAGATGTGGAGTCAGACTGCCAAAGTGTAGCTTCTGTCACGGGACCAGAGAATGCCTCTCCACCAACAGACCTGACCAAGAAGAGTTCTTGCAGTCTGTCTGGGCTGAAAAGGTCTTCAACATCTTCCCTTAGATCAATTCCATCAGCTGAAGGTAATTTCCAGGATCTTTTAGGACATCTGTGTTTTCTGTGATGCATCAGAAAGCAAGAGCTGAATCTGAAAGCAGCAGTTAATTAATGGTATTAATTAACCTCTTTTTGGTTTTGGTTGGGGTTTTTTTTATTTGTTTTCTGTGGTATGTTCTTTCAGTTTTCAAACTGTTTCTGAGATATTTCCATTGCACTGTTCAAACAGCTTAAATGGTACCAGTGTTTCTCAGAATTTAGAGTACTCTCCTCATCTAAACCATCTTGTAAGAAGATTGCTGCTGTGTAAGAAGAGTTGGTAGCTGTGTTCTGTTGCTGTGTCAAAGGAGTGAATGCTTGCAAGGATTGATACTGATCAAAAGCTAGCATTAAAATTTAAAAAGCACCAGGCTTAACATATCCAGTAAATAACAGTTTTGTTACTCCTTGTTGGTGTGCTTGCTTTTTTGTTTGTTTGTTTGAACTATATGTCTGAAACCCTGCTGATGGAATGACTCCTTCGATCTGCCTTACTTATATGGTTTGTTATCCAGTACTGCAAGTAGACTAGCTCAAACAGAAGATTATGGCTGAATGGTGCCATATATAGACATGATGTGCAAAAACCCAACTTTAGGAAGCCATTTCAGTGCACAAGTTAGGATGCTAGTTTTGCTGTTCAGTCAAAGAGGAATGCTGCTTCAAAGAACATCCTCAAAGCACCTAAGCTGAGCCCGTGTCCAGTATAAGCCTGTAGACAAAGCTTCTTGCAAGACAGGGAAGCTTAGAAACAGCTTCTCACTTGGAGTCTTGTGTACAGTTCTGGTGTCCTCAACATAAAAAGGACATGGAACTGTTGGAACAAGTCCAGAAGAGGGCCACAAGGATGATAAGATGGGTGGAGCACCTCCCGTATGAAGACAGGCTGAGAAAGTTGGGGCTCTTCAGCCTGGAGAAGGGAAGCTGCATGGAGACCTCATAGCAGCCATCCAATATCTGAAGGGGGCCTACAAAGATGCCAGGGAGGATCTCTTCATTAGGGAGTGTAGTGCTAGGACAAGGGGTAACGGGTTCAAACTTAAACAGGGGAAGTTTAGGTTAGATATAAGGAAGAAGTTCTTTACAGTGCGGGTGGTGAGGCATTGGAATGGGTTCCCCAAGGAAGTTGTGAATGCTCCATCCTTGGCAGTGTTCAAGGCCAGCTTGGATGGAGTCTTAGGTGACATGGTCTAGTGTGAGGTGTCCCTGCCCATGGCACGGAGTTGGAACTAGATGATCTTACGGTCCTTTGCAACCCTAACTACTCTATGATTCTTTGATTCTTAATGTAGACAGTTCTGCTAAATGCTGTTAGCTGAAATGCCTCTGAACCCTTGCTGTTCTGAATACCTCTGTGAGAACATGAGGTGATACTGCACTATATTGGCACCTATGTGGAAGTTACTTTAGAAGAAACACCTTCTTGAAATCAGTATATTTGCAATGGTTTGGATTTTGAAGCCTAACAGTCAGCACTGAAACAGTGAGCTCCAATAGACTGAGTGCTGACTTTGCCACTGAGCTGCCAATAGTATGAGTAATTCAAGTACAGGTGGACTAAATATGTGGCTATGTGCAAAACCTAAAAGTTTAAGAAAGTTCTCAACCCTCAACCCCCCAGGGATAGTACAGGCTTTTTCATAAGACTTACATATATGAATTAGTATTATACTAACAGTATTAATAATGTAGAATAATAATTACCATTAACAATTATTTATAAAATACAATTCTGTTAGAAAATAATATTAATAATATAGATATTGTTTTTCTTTTAGGGAATCTCCTTATATTATAACAGCTTTTAAAGCATTATTAAGCATCTGTTGTTCTTGGGAATAAAGAAACACAGAAGTAGATGCAGTTGTTGTCTTGCAGAATGTATATGCAAACAAGGCAATAATCCACAGATAAGTCATCTTAAAGACGTGTGGCCATGCCTTGTGTTCATTAAGAGGACTTTAGTGTGTCCACTGCAGTCTGTACAGGTATAGGTTTATCAAGTTACAGTAGCAATTGTTGTAGGCAAATCATGATCATTAAGTTTGAAATATTTTTTAAGATACAAGAAACTTCTGTGGATACTGAAATATTAATTCTTACAAATCAGTGAGGCCTGATTTCGTAGTGGATGCTGCATCAAGCCAGAATTTAGACTAGATTACTTCCTGACATGCCTTCCAACATGAATTTTTTCTACAATTCTCTGTAGTGTACTACTTTATAAATGTTGTTTTTACTGTTACTTTTTCGTGACACTACTATCTATCTACTTATGTGCAATGTCATTTTTTAGGCTTCACAATTTTAATGTCGTTTCTTCATTGTCATTGTTGTTGCTTTTCTTCTGGCTTTCTGTCTGAAAGGCTGTTTCTTCTCTCTCTTAGGAAGTACTTTGTCTATTTTGCCTTTTACATAAAATAAAGAAACAAACAAATAACGCAGCAACAACAAAAACTTTGCTTTGCATGTTACACGTTATGAAACAACTTCAAGTTACCTTTATTATTCCCTGTATTTTGTTGTTTTTTTCAGGTAACAAAAGCTGCAGTGGATCTGTACAGAGTTTATCTTCAGCAGATACCAAAGATACACCAAAAGCTCTACCAAACCCTGATTTGCCTCCCAAAGTGTGCAGGAGAGCAAGATTAGATACTGCATCAAGTAATGGCTATCAAAGACCAGGATCTGTGTAAGTCATCAAGGCCCTTTGGATTGTTACAGTATTGTCTACTATAAAGTGATCCCAGAGAGCTACATTAGTAATTAAAGAAGCATCCATGAATACTTGGTTTTAATATTTCTGTATGTGTGAAATTTTTATGTAGCTTCATTAAACTGTAAACAAAGGAGACATTGCATGAAATCTGTTGAAGTGAGTTAAAAGACTTCCATTGACTTCATTAGACTACAGATAAGGTCTATAATGAAGAAACATATTTTTGTAAAGTGATTAGTTATATTATGTCTGGTTCTTCTGAAATTTAATGTTTAAAGGAACATAAATGCTACTTACTGTCCTTGCTATTAGGTCAAAAAGATCATCAGATTTTATTAATGTAAGTCCAAAATTGGAGGAAGGAAAAAAAAACAAAACCCAACCTTCTGCTCTGAAATTTCTTCAGTTGCTGCATATTAAATAGTAGATTTCTAACAGCGTTTTTGTTTTGGTTTTGTGTTGGGAGAAGGGTAGTTCTAAGCAATAGAGTTTATAATTTAGTCTGCTGACATTTAGCAATGTTTCTCAGTGCTTTTAGCACAGACTTAAAAGTCAGAAGATCTTTACTGTAATCTTGGCTTTGACCCAGAATATCTCTTTCCCCATGAACAAGTGATTTCCAGATGTGCAGAGCACCAAGAAATTCTCCAAATACTGGAGGACTCTATGCAAACTCTTCACTTTTTAAACTGGAAGAGTTCACTGTAGTCGTTTCACAGTCTACTGTGTCTTACTTAAACAGAGAGTCCTGCACAGCTCAAGAGTTCCAGCATCATAGTGACAGACTGTCAGTAAAAGCATTTCCAATATATCTACCGGCCATCTATGAATATTATTTTAAATATAGGGTGTTGAGATTTCCCTTCCTGACTCAGAAGGCACTGGAGCATGTGGAAGTCAGTGGCCCCAATTACATTATGTCCTTAAGAATGCTGCTCAACAGGGACTTAAATCCAGCTTTTGAATTTCCTCAGTTTCTCTTAAGTGAGTAACCAAAACAATTAAAAAAAATATGTCTGTATCTTTAGATGGTTAAAAGTGAAACTGGTCTGCGTATTTAATGGGTGAAGTTTAAAGTAAGGTGGTGTTTTTATTTTCAGAGTGGCTGCAAGAGCACAGTTGTTTGAAAGTGCTGGTTCACTTAAACAGGTTTCTTCAGGACGGTAAGTGCTTCATACTGTTTAACAATTTGTAAAATCCTTTCTGTTTTACTGACTTCAAAGATTGAAGTAGGTATGTTGGAGCTTTGTTCTGTGTCTTCTGGACAGCATCATGTGGCATGTGAAATTTTTGCAATTTATTAAACTCATCCTTTCTCCAAAATCAAGCTAATTCTAATAGAGAATACCAGCCAGTCTGGCGATTCTGTCACTTGAGTGAACTGTGGTAAAAGATGCTCAGGTTATTGATCTGTTTAAGGACACTGCTACAGAGTAAATTAATAAGATTTAAATTAGGATACTGTACATATTCTATACAGCTGTTCATATATACATGCTTTCATCAGAGTAGCAAACATGTTACTTTATGGTAATTTGCTCCTATAGGCAGGTCTTAAATAGCAGCTGCTTTAGAAAGTTCAGGGTTAACTTGATGAGGATTTCTGTCCTTGCCATCACACCTTCCAGTGTATCTACCTGGAGAAACTGTGGCCTTTTCTTCTTGATAGTGCACAGGAGGAATTACTTATATTTTTCTTTCTTACAGTTGTTGTATTTATTTGGCGGATTTAATTCATTCTTATTATTCTATGAATTCAGAATATTTTGATAAGTGTTCATCTGGGAAGCAGCATCTTCCATATGTTACTAACCCCCTTACAACTGATAGACTAAAGCAGATAATCAGGGAACTGGATGTGAGAAAAAGTCTGTCTCTTTTTTCACTGTCCCTACGTTTCAAGTTCTTTGAGACCCAACATATGTTTTTGTGCATCGCTTTGTTCACTGCTACCAGGATCTTACTGGAACTGTCAAGCAAGCTAGGGGGAGGTTGGGGAGGAATTCAATCAATTAATCCAGAAGTAGTAATCTAGCGTAGCACAGCTGTAAAGGAAAGTGCCAGTGTATGCTGAGACATGTGGCAGTGTTCTTTCTGACAGGTCTATCAGGGGAGAGAAACAGCTGACCTGCAAAGGCCCACTGATTTTGATTGAGAAAAGCAGCTTACAGATACTAAGGCTGCTATTGTTTTGTGTAGTACTTGAACTGTAAGATGATAATAAAAGAGGGTGCCATGGGAAGAAAAAGGTAGGAAAAGAACAGGGCAATAATCTAAGGAAATATAAATTAAGAGACTGGAATGTTCTTAAGCCAGAGTCCTAAGACAAGAGTGATGACTGCTTCACCAATCCTGCATTATTTCACCTTTCTACTCTCATTTTTGTATTACGCCTTTCTTGTAAACTCTCCCCTCTTGCTCCCTCGGAGCCTGTGCCACCTGTATCTGTATATAAAAAGCACGTAAGAAGCAAAAATCTGACAAAGAAAAAATGTAGCAGTTTGATAATGGATATGGAGAGCCAATAACAAAGCCGAAAACGCTGAAAAGCTTTATAGCTCCTCTACTTCAGCCTTCTTAAGAAGGCAGAAGAGCAACAGTAACAAGGAGAATGGAAAATAAGAGGTGAGCAGGCAAAATGAGGAAGAAAGAAGAAGTAGCTCAGCTGTTCTTACTGTGCTGCTAAAGTCTGAGTACATTTTTGCAATTTAGAGCCAGCTTTTGTTTGCCTCTCATGCATATTATGAACACGAAGGCTGATTTAAAACCTTAGGATAGTCATTTTTTAGCTTTAAAGTATGCAGAAATCATGGTAATTACATCTTGATCCACCCAGTAGAAAGGCTGTCTGTGGTCATAACTCTGCTACCTAATGAGTGTATGCAGGACAGAGTGTAAGACAGAGAGACTATTTTTAAGCTTTCTGGTTTGATACCAGAAATACTTAAGACAGTGTTGAACTCTGTGCAGGAATAATTTACCCTGCTAAAATAACTAGTTTTGAAATTTTAAGCTACTGCTTACCTATATTTTATAGTATCTGAGTAGCTTCATTTGTATTTGAAGCATCTGTTGCCTCTTGTGGTCATTTGTACAGTTAACAGATCAAAAGTACCTGTAGAGCTTTGCAGTCTCACATGTTTTTATGTGTTCCAGCAGATAATTTTATACTTGACACTTTACCACCAGAGTGGCCCGATGTTACTTAATTCCTTCTTCCAAGAGGTATTCGCAGCCCTGCTTCCTGACTTGGTATAATGCAATACTCTATCATGAGTGTGTGTCCCCTTTTTCTTTTTTAATGCTGGGACATTATTTGGCCTGGCGGTTTTCTCTCCTTGTATGCATGAGTACACGCCCCCATAGCACTACCAGTTTGAACAGATTTCTTTTAGTCAGAAAGAGAATGAGAGGCCATAGTACATAGTACAAGTACAGCTTGCACTCTTCTTTTTCCACTTCCAGTTGCTGTGACTTCTCCCATTCCTTCCCTTCTGACTTGAAGTTTATTATTCATCCATCTTCCCCAATGTGGTATTAAGCTACTGTCTACACTGAGACCAATCCCTATTGCTCATCTACACACTTGAAAGAGGCAAAGGAGTTTTCTTACCACTTTCACAAATATTGCCATTAGATAACAGTCTTAGTAAGGTCTGAGGTCTCTATTGCAGTTTCTGTACAAAATGCACCATCACATAATCCCTGACTCTACATTTTCTTGACTTTGATTTAGAGGTACACACAAAGTCAAGTCTCCTGAAGTGAGAAACTGCATTATAAGAGGAGAAATTTTCATTAGAAAAGAATACATAAAAAATAGAAAGGGGGAGATGGTGACAGTAAATGGCTCTAGTTTAGCAGCAGGATATCTATGCTTGATGGGTTGGGACATTAATAGGAGTAGTATGAAGCCCTCTAGATCCACACTCCCCTCCCAACCATATAATTAAATATGTTTTCCCAGTCATTCTTCTGGTTTTATTTTCATGTTATTTTTTGCTATGTCCAGACCAGCATCTCCAGGACTCTATAAACCTTTCCTCTTCCTGTAGAATACTATTAACTGATGAGTCATTTGAGAGAAGGATTCATGTGTTTTCCCACAGTCATTCCTGTTCCGGCTTCTTCGTCTTGCTAGACTGAAAACCCATTAGGGCAGGAGCATAGTTTTAAAACTTATTTATAACTTCTAAAATTATAGTTCTGGTTTTTGTTGTTGGTATTATTATTATTGTGGTTGTTATTATTAAAAGGGCCTCAGGTGTTGTTGACTGCATGTAGTCAAGCAAAATAATTTGGCTGCTATTATAAGTCTATCATTATGGACTCAAAAAAAAAAGTAATAAAAAGTAGGAAGAGGTAAAATGCATTTTTCTCATCTGGAGTCTATCCAGTAAAGTCATGGAAAGAAGGAACTTCTAGGAAATATTACCATTTTCTGAAGTTGTCTTTTTCTGTCTGCACTAAACAACATGAATCACACTTTTCTCAGATTGTTAGCCTCATATTAAGAGAACCATAATAAGTGATGGTGATGTTACCACATGCTTTTTCAGAAACAGCCTTGTTTGTAGGGAAGACACCATTAACACTGCAAATAAGAATGTCCATTCTCATAATCACACACAAAACATAGAAATGCCTGAGAACCTGCAACTGCTTTTCAAGGTTAATGCTTCTAGCTGAGTAGGGTTAAAGTAATAACTATTATGAGAACCTAGGTAATCAAATCAAGTGTGGAAGCAATAGCCAGGAGCTTGAAAATTGCTAGAGAATTATGAGTAAATATTCTTAGAATCTGTCTCTCATTACACCATCCCACACAGTTTGTAGATAACATTGAGTTGTAATTATTCTGTATCAGGAGCAAGTTAGTGGGAAGGATCCTGTCAGTCATAAGCTTTTGAGAAATTGACATCTTTGTACATGTCTTTGTATATCTGTTGAAATATCAAAAGCTGGGAAGCTTTTTCTTTCTAGAGCTGACCAAGTCAGAGTCCATGTTTTCTTACCTTCTTTTTACTTTTAGGGTAAACATACTTGGATCAAGTAAAATTGGAAGCTGAAAACAGAACAGTTTGGTAGACATAAGAGAATATAGGATAAAATGGCATTTATTTTCTTAACTTTTTCTAAGGGCAGTAAAACATGTCATATTTCAAGAATAACTTAAATAATTCTGCCTCACATTTAAATATTGCTGTTCTGTTTTATTATTGCCTTAAATGTCTTGTCACTGTATTACTCAGATGTCCCATTCTTAACATGGGAAACTGGCTTGATAGTCGTAGAATCATAGAATAGTTTGGGTTGGAAAGGACCTTATGATCCCCTAGTTCCAACCCCCCTGCCATGGGCAGGAACACCTCACACTAAACCATGTCACCCAAGACTCCATCCAGCCTGGCTTTGAACACCGCCAGGGATGGAGGTTCTACGCATTAGTAAGGATCAAAATCATCCCCGTTCTTTAGTAAATTCATTACCAATTACCTTATATTTATTGCAACTATACTCATTGTTAACAGTTACTCTACAGTTTTATACCTGCAAAATACATGATTAGGCCACACAGGAGTACTGGGTTTGCGAGGCAAGGTTTTGGTAGCAGTGTGGCTACAGGGGCAGCTTCTGTGAGAAGCTGCTAGAAGCTTCCCCCATGTCCGATAGAGCCAGTTCCAGCTGGATCCAAGCTGGACCCACCACTGGCCAAGGCTGAGCCCATCAGCAACAGTGGTAGCGCCTCTGGGATAACACAGTTAAGAGCTGGGGAAAAATGCTGTGTAACAGCAGCCAGAAGAGAATAAGAATGTGTGAGAGAAACATCCCTGCAGACACCAAGGTCAATGCAGAAGAAGGAGGATGTGCTCCAGGTGCTGGAGCAGAGATTCACCGCAGACCATGGTGCAGACCATGGTGAGGCAGGCTTTGCCCCTGCAGCCCATGGAGTACCCAATGCTGGAGCAGACGGATGCCCGAAGGATGCTGTGACCCCGTGAGAAGCCCATGCTGGAGCAGGCTTCTGGCAGGACCTGTGACTCTGTGGAGAGTCACATGGAGCAGGTTTGCTGGCAGGACTTGTGATCCCGTGGGGAATTCACACAGGAGCAGCCTGTTCCTAAAGTACTGCACCCTGTGGAAGGGACCCACACTAGAGCAGCCTGTTCCTGAAGGACTGCACCCTATGGAAGGGACCCATGCTGGAGCAGTCTTCCTGAAGGACTGCACACCACGGAAGGGATCCGTGCTGGAGCAGTTCATTAAGAACTGCAGCCCAGGGAAGGACTTATATTGAAGAAGTTCATGGAGGACTGTCCTGTGAGGAGTCCTCCCCCTGAGAAGGAAGGAGCAGAAGAGATAACATGTGATAAACTGACCACAGCCCCCATTCATCATCCCCCTGCACCACTCAGGGAGGGAGGTGTCAGGGAACTCGGGAGTGAAGCTGAGCCCAGGAAGAAGGAAGGGGTGAGGGGAAGGTGTTTTTAAGATTTGGTTTTGTTTCTTATTACCCTACTTTGATTTCAGTGGTAATAAATTAAACTGATTTCCCCAAGTTGTGTCTATTTTGCCCATCACAGCAACTGGTTTTTGATCTCTCCCTTTCCTGGTCTCGACGCAAAAGCCTTTCATCATGTTTTCTTTCCCCTGTGCAGCTGAGAAGGGCAGTGATAGAGAGGCTTTGGTGGGCACGTGATGTCCAGCCAGGGTCAACCCACCACAACAGAAAATAACTGTTTTTCCAGTCTGGGTCAGTATAATTAGAACACCTGTAGCGCTCTTTGTTGTATTGACTTTGAGAAAAAATGATCTCGAGATTAAATATTCAATTCTAGTTTGTAGGTGACTTTCGGTAAAGCCATCTATGTCTCTCTGTATATTTTAGTGTATATTATGTAGATTATTATGTATAAATGTGTATGTATTATCTGTAGTAATGAAACTTCATACCTCTCTTGTTGACTGTAGATGGCAAATTCTTCCTAACAGTAGGCACAAAGGAGTTGTCTTGAAAAAATGCCACAAAGAGCAGTCTATACCAGCTAGAAAGCTAACATTTAAGTAAAGTAGACAAACAGGAGTCCAGTACTCATGTTGTTCTAGTTAGCAGTGGAGATGTATCCAGAATGACAGTACTGAGTTAGAAATATTTTCAGCATCCTGAAAACAAGGTACCCTTGGATACTGTGGGCACAACTCAAAATTCTTGACCTCCTCTGGAAATCTCAGCCCGAGAGTATAGCCCTTGATGAGTCAGTTGCTCACTTGGGATGAAGGCAAAACATGCCATTTAGTCTATTCATAAATCAGCTTCAGAGAAACCTAAGAAAAGCTTTCTCTTCAGAGGGAGAAAACATTTCTGGAAAGCTCATACATACAAACTTTGGAATGTCCAGACACTCTCACACCCTTTTAAGGATTCAGATGAACAATGGTGTGCTAGTACTGACTGGGACCAGGGTATAAGGCCAAGGTAGAGAGGTGCTTTCTGCTCCCTTTAGGAACTCCATCCCTGCTTAACCTCCCCAGGGAGGTGTGGAACTCCGAAAGTGAAGTGCCATCGCCCCATCAGTGGTACTCAAATAAAATAGACTTCTCATGCTAATGTTTGTGATGTGGCATTGTTATTAATCTAACTTAGAACTGTTATCTAACTATTTTGGAAGGAAAGACAAAACAGATTGCATGTCTCTTACATATATACGTTCTCAAAAAGTATGCAAAAAGCATTAAACTTTACCAGAGGTCACATATTGGGTCATTGAGTTAAATCCTGGCTTGAAGGAAAGCTGAATCAGTATCTCCCCAGCATGTCATACAAAGGTGAAATAATCAACTAGTTCATCCTCACTTGGTATAATGTGGGCTTCCAATAAGTTGAAAGAAACTCAGAAAAAAACCTACAGATCATATAAAAATTGCTTTGAGTGTATCAATTGAAGTCAAGGTATTAGGTAAAGCGCAGGAATCTAGAGAGAACTCTGAATTTTCATCTTCGTGGTCAGTCCCTCATTTTGTACTTTGCAGAATAATAGTGCTAGAAGCCATATCAAGACGTGACCTAATCAGTCCTTCTTCTCTAGGATAGAATAATTATATATCTAACTTTTATATATATCTGTGTAGTGCCTTCTTTTTTTTTCTTAATGAATTTTTAGTAATAGATATTCTTCGATTTGGGAATTCTCCAGTGCTTGGCACTTCCAGTGCTTCACTGTTCTAACCAATGGAGGGGTTTTCCAGCTACAGATTAGGAGACATAAACTTAGCTGTCTACATATAGGTGTTTTCATGTCAGGTATTATTTATTTCGTGAAAGGTTTCTCCACAGACAGTGAAACTTGGTGAGCCATTTGTTGCACTCAAGTAGGTGTCTGCCATAGTGGAAGCCAGGCCTGGGGTGTCTGTGGAGCTAGGCATGTAGTTTACTTATAGACATTTAAATTCAGGTGTCTGAAGCTGAAACCCACCCAAGACACTTAATTTGAATCTCCCGTGGTGCAATTTAAAGCTGTTTAAGTCCTTTTTGCAGACAGCGAGAAGAATGGATTGCTCCTTTTGTCTCATGTTTATCTTCAATGTATTATTTTCTTCTGTAGACAGATGAACTGTATTTCCTCACAAGTCACTTTAGAATGGTCTCCAAGCAGTCCATCACTTGCTTCAAGCAGTATGCTCAGTTCAGTATTCATTTGAATTACAACTTCAGCTAGAATGAAAGAATAATTTTAAAAATTATAAATCATAGTTTTGCTTAAAATTCTACGTATTGGTCTCTTTTCTGCAATAGCATGCTTGTTAACTCCAGTAAGCTTGGAGTTAATATCTGCTATGATTCTACTCCTCTGATGTTCTGTCTAACCAGTTATTACCATCCTGCATTTGTGCAAATGATCTCCCTTACACTTCCCAGGGTTTAATTTAATTTCTTTATGTGTTTCTCTTGTTACCTCATTTATTGCAAGCCTGCATTTTTTTTCTTTCAGACAAGCAAAAGCCATGTATTCCTGTAAGGCTGAGCATAGTCATGAGCTGTCTTTCCCACAGGGGGCAATATTTTCCAATGGTAAGATAAGTTTTACATCGTTTTTATTATGTAAAAACCCCCAGACATGTAAAAAAGTGAACTGTATCCACAAAATGAGAGTATAATTCCATTTTCAGTTCTCGGGTTTTGCACTGATTTTTTAATTTATTTCTTTTAAATAAATACTACCTAATAAATCTATGAACCATGTATAGGATCATTTAACAGTGTTAAGTAATTGTAAATACGTTTTATTTTGTCTGGCTGTTTTTTTGCAGTGTATCCATCAGTGGAACCAGGCTGGTTAAAAGCAACTTACGAAGGCAAAACAGGACTCGTTCCTGAGAATTATGTTGTCTTCCTCTAGTAATCTTTAGTGGACAGCAGTATCTTCATGGTATCCATGGTAACAAATAATAAGCACTATGATTTTTATCTGACACAGATATGGGATCAGCCCATTAGCTGAGTGGTATATTTCCTTCAGATACTGCAGCTGCAAGTTACACAGCTCCCTATCAACAGAACAGAATGTAATGAAGCAGTTAACAGTTTCTATACTGAAGACTGTACTCTGTTTAAATAACTTCCATTGTTTGCAAAAGGTTGTTCTGTTCTTCTTTTATGAGTAAGAAACACTACAGCAATAAAATCAAAAAACTTACTATTTAGCCGCAGACTTTCAGGTCCTAGGATGTTGCTCACAGAAGTGTGAAATTTAGAGGTGGTGCACTCTGCGACATTTTTTGCAATCTGTGGGTTTTTATTATGGAAAATTGTAATTTTTTCATAATGTAAGTAATGTTTCTATTGTGATCTGAATTCTCCCTTAGAAAACTTGATTCTAAAATGAGTCCTAATCATTTCAAATAAGAAATGAGTTTTCCCTAAATCAGAAATTTGAGCTTCTGTGAGTCACTGAAATTACAATATGGTATAGAATTTATATAGCTGATAATAAAATCAGTTTATATACTGCCTGAGCAGAAAATGCTCATTCAAAATGTGGTATTTTTAAGGAATGCTTCGTCCAAATACCTCTTAGGTTTATTTCCTTCTTTCTGTATTGGTGTAGATAATAACTTTTATTTCTATGATACCTGTCGTCTAGAAGATATTCTCATTGTTTTTCAGAATAACATTTGTAGAAAACAAGGAGATGCTGACTCTGGAGTGACTGGTAGTCATGTGGGTGAGCAGTGAAAAACAGCAGTATGTTTTGAAACCAGATAAACTGTAGCTGAGTCCTTTTTCAACTTGTTCCATTGCAAATAAGACAAATGGCCTATGAAGTATCTAATTTTATAAGCTATGAATGCTGAAAGCTCCATCTAACAATAAAAGTATTTAGTATTATATCTCCTGACTTCTGCTAAACTATTTGACAAAGATTTCTTCCCTTCCACAGAATAAAAAACTCAAACCAAAGTTTAAAAAAAAACAACAAACAAAACCATAAGCAGCTTTCTCAGTCACAAGCATCTTTCTTGCACATCTTGAGGGAAAACATGTACTGATACTTGGCTGCTTACCATGCCTAATTGAAAAGCAAGATAACTAAGTTCCATATTAGTAATTCTTCAGAATTAGTACTACAGAAAGAATTCACTGTTCATAGGCCTGTCTAGGCTTAGTGTCATAGACATATCAAAGCTTATTCTTCAGTAACAGAAATGAATGTATAAATCTTCTGTTGACTTCTAAGTTGTACACTGCTTCCAGAAAGTTTAAGGAAGAACTTCTGTTAGGGCTAAAAACATCAGTAATCTTTCTATAGTCATTTTCTTGTTCAAATCAGAAAATACCTTTTTCTTTTTTTTTCTTTTTTTTTTTTCTTTTTTTCTTTGCCAATGTAAACACATCGGAACCTTCTGTACTTGTATGTAATGTGTAATTTCTGTAGAGCATTTCTGTGTTGGAATTCAGGCTGGTGGCAAAAGCCTGCAGGATCCTTCTTCTCACTAAAGTGGTGATCAGGGAAGTAGAGAGAGGCTGGAAGAGCATCCTCCCAGGAATGGTCTTTGTGATTTTTTTTTCAGAGGGGGATTCTAGGGCAAGGCTAACTGCAGGCGGTTGAGGACAGACCCCTGAAATTAGTGACTGAGTGATTTGGGTTCTTTCTTCACGCTAAACAGTTTCATGAAGTCTGAAATCATGTTTCACTTCACCTTAAGACCAGACCATATTCCACGCATTGTGATGAAGGGTTGTTCCAGCCATTGTCACAGGTAGTGAAGGCAGACATGTGTGCTCATCTTATTTGCCCAGAGCAGATGTGAAAGGAAGTGAAGGTCTTTTCTCACCAGACTAAGACTTGCTTAGTCTTAAGGCAAGCCAAGTTTTCTTAGTGTAAGCTATGCCTGAAACTGCCATTGCCCTGAGATCATCGGCGTGGTTTTGGTTGTGCTATATTTCATAATCCAAAAGTTGGAGGCTGTCAAAAGGTTTGCCTCTGGTGACCTTCCCAGGAGAAGGCAAAAGGAGCAGAGAGGAAGGTAGAGCTTTGAGCACACGTCTCACCCAGGCAGAGAAATGTAGTGGTCTAGGGAAGACTCCCAACTTCTGTCTATTCCACCAGGGCCAGTGTCAAACTGACCTGCATTGAACATCGTCTTATGACCTCTTATATCTCCTGGGAGCAGTTTAAATGTTGTGAAATTCTTGAGGAATGGTGAAGTAGAAAATATTTTCTCTTGCATTGCTTTAGCCAGATCTAAAAAGCAGGGGGGGAAGCTAACCTTAGGTCATCTCATAGCCTGTATGTATTTCTGCCTACTCTCCAATACTGTATTTTGAAGCCAGCTGATCTGAGGACTCAAAGATGCCAAGTTCATTAAAAATTATGTAAAAATGCAGAGTTCAGTTACAGATTAAGTAGAGCCAGTACATGCTGAGGGAAAGGTTGTAGAAAGACCTGAAGGAATCCCTGTGAAGGTGTTTTGTATGTTCCCATGCATTCATCTCACGTTAGACACAAAATTCAATTGCAGAAGACAGCTTCATAAAGACTGGATCCCATTCATTCTGCTGCTTACAAAACATCTGTATTTTCCTCTGTAAGACTCTACACTGTTTCAGGCCCTTCTTCTGAACCAGCCGCGGTGATTACATAAATAATTTTGGAGTCGCTTAACTTTAAACTGATAAAGGTTATGCCTATTCTTAATTACAGTTAACCACTCACTCTCAATGAGCAGGATTTTCCTCTTTTTTTTGTATTTTATGGTTTTTCATTTCCTCTTTTCTGCAGTACATAACAAGCATTTTCTTTATAATCTCATTGCTGGGTGGTGGATGCCCCAGCTCTTCCAGTTGGAAAGTGAAAGCTCTTCACTTTCCAAGAGGGAGTTTATCTCTAGAAGAAGCTGTGCAATTAACTGGAAAGTTAAGTACTAGGTGCTCTAAGACTGAAATGGGGAGAGCACAGAACCAAAGCTTGTTTAGTGATGATACTCTCAGGCCTGACCAAAACTCTCTTCTGATAATTGCAAAGGAACAGAAATCTATATAACAGTTAAATGAAGATGCATTATCTTGATAGTGCCTTACCAGAAAATTAGGCAAGCTGAACTAAATTAGTTCTTAGTACTGATTTACTGGGGTTTATGAAAGTCAGATTCACTTTACCAGCAAAGGTTACACAATTTTTTAATTATTATTATCCTTCCTAAAAAGCTGCAACAGTTTTTGTCCAAGTATCGCTGTAGAACTCAAGGTAGATGACACGTTGTGATTGCTGTTTGTCCTGTGGAAGTAACGTCTGTACCCACAACTTATGTAATTAGCCATGTTTTTTCTTTCTTAAACCATTTGATGCATGTTGCAGCACAACATGAATCAAATTAATAGTGTGAAGGACTGATATATTGTATGATAAATATGTAAAGTATATTAATATTTTATATTCTCACTTTTTATTAATGATGATAAAGCTGAAAAAATATTTTTTGTGTAATCGCTGTGAGTTCAGTATTAAAATGTCCTTGCCATATTTTGGCATTTAGAGTTATATGTAACAAAACTCTTAAATTAAACCATACCTATCACTTACATCCCTAACTAATCTGTATAGTTCATTGTTCAATTATTTCTGTAAAAAAAAAAAAGATGCACAGATTTGCTGTCCAGAGCTATTCTATGATAGTAATAGTAACTTATTTTCCTTTCATATGTTTTCTGGTGCTAATCTCTATTCTTTGCCTGTAATTGGATTGAATTGTAATGTGCCTTTAGGAAAGACACGTTTGGAGAGGAAAAGTTGCAAAATTCAGAAGTTCAGAACAGTAATACGAAACAAAACCAAAAAAAGCATTGTATGGCAGCAATTCGACTTTTTGTTACTTTTCTCCACTGGTCTATTTTCTACATAATAAGATTGCATCAGAATAAATAATGAAACTAAAATGCATATTGTTCTTTGTAGTTCTTTTCCTGAGGCAGCAGTTAGTGCAATTTTGGATTGAGCAGCAAGAAGAGAAGTCCCAGTAGGGGATCACGTCCTCCAAACTGGGGTAGACCTTCTCCACTGATAGAAACTCTCAAAGCTCTAGTGAAGTGAAAGACAGACCTGTAACAATTTACAGTGAGGGTTTGCTGGCCAGAATCCCCCAGGAAGTAAATGGCATATTCTGTTAATGGGGTAATATATGACATGGCTTGGCATTACCCTTTCTTTCAGCAGAGTGCCCTATATAAATCAATCATCACATCATCTAGAGATATGCTATAGGCAATGTTCAGTCTCACTGCCTGTGGTCACACAGCCCCAACAGCTGCTGCTGCTGGATAGCTCTTCCCGTTACTGCTCATGCTAAAATCAGAGTGTTGATCGGGCTCTTTCAGTGCAATTTGGGAGGTCTGTTTTTTTGATAAGATTTTGCGTGGGCTTTGGGAGTTTGCTTCATTTTGTTTTAATACGGTGCTTGGTATCCAAACAGCTACTAATTCACTGTTGTAATTCAGTCACTGAAGATCATAGCATTGTTTTTCTTGTCCTGTATGTGGCAGTATTTAATAAGCCATTGGATTTCCCTTGTTAATTTTAAGTATGGAGAATGGTGCTGGTGTCTCAGCTGAAAGCTACTCTGCATCTGAGCTTTTTGCGAGTGTTTTACTGGCAATTATTGTTAAAGTTCTGGCTCTAAAGATAGCACCATTGATTTCAGCACTACAAGAGTTTCTGTTATAGCAAAGGGCGAAGCAGCTGAGCAGGGCACATGGATAGTTTCAGTTTTCAATCATATTTATGATAATTTTGGAGGTATTAGAGTTTATAGAGGTTACTTTAGATACTATATGGTATTTTAATAGGAAAGTATATGCAATCAATAACTATATATATTTAATAAAGTCCTACTAAATTATGTTATTGAACTCTCTGTTTATTTTGTAGTGTGGTTTCAATAATTATCTGCACTCTGTATATATCTACATGTAAATAACTGGCATGACATGCATAAGCTGACTTGCAGACATAATTCTATGTTGTTCTTTACACTGTATTTCCAGAATTTGAAAAAAAGAAGCCTGATTTTCAAAATAAAAACCTTTCTACACAAAGTGGTTTATTTAGTATTTTTAAATATGGGCTCTGATGCAGCCTGTTCTTTTTTTTCAAGTAATAACACTTTTGTTCTATTTTCCTGCATTTTTGAGTGGTGTTTCACCCATGAGGATGCTTTACATAGAGGACATTGCTCCTAACTGAGCAATTGGCATTTGTACAACTAATGAACAGTAGTATGTCATCTGCTGTCCCGGTCATATGGAACTCTCCAAAGATGTGGCTTTTGAGGAAGAGAAAATGACAGCTTTGGATGTTAGGTCACAAGCAGCACAAACCTGATATATCAAAACATGAGGTCTTTGC